AATCTCAACCTAGCATACCTATCACATTCTGCGAGGTAGTGCTTCGCCGTTTCTTCTTTTATTTCGCCGAAGCGGCAAAAGCGGCAAAAGGAATCTGGTAGGATACCCATTACGAAGAGGTGTCTTCTCAGTGGGCAGTGGCCCGTCAGAATACCTACCAGCCTCCTAATTCCCTTCCTTGAGATAGAGAATAGCCATTTCGATTCAGCTGGTTTGATCGCCTTAACAAACTCTTTCGATTGCCTGTCTCCGGGGGATAAATTCCACTCCCTAAGGAATTGTTTCATGCCCCAGTTATTGATACTCTCTTTCGCTGTGCTCACAGAGTGAGGTAATACCGGTTGTGGCCCGACAAACGCAGTGTTAGAGCCTTCTTTGGCTAGGCCATCCGCCTTTTCATTGCCATGGTGTCCCTTATGTGCTGGTANATCTAGTAAGGTGATGGTCGACATTGTAATTATCTAATGCTGATATAATGCAAGAAGTATCAGCATAATCAAATGCCCCTTGGATATCGAAGAAGCAACCTAGTGTATATTCATTATTAAATAATGATTTCTCGATCCTGCCTATTAGTGAATGCAAGGCAGTTTCCACTGATTTTCCTGGAAAGTAGGCATGCCGATTGGGATGTATCATTGTAATAATTCCACAATCTTGCCTAATGTATCTATCTAAAATTTTTATGAAAATAGAGGATATACTTATAGGTCTATACGATTTTGGTAATTGATATGAGACCTTACCTGGTTTGGGTAAGAAAATAACCCTTATTTCCTTCCAGCATTTTGGTATATATCCCAATGCCAGACTACTCCTTAGGAGATCCCACACTGTTCTAGATAGACTAGGTGTATCCTGTTGAAGGAGGGCAGGGAACAACATGTATCAACAATGGTAAAAACATGTAAAATGAAACTAAATGAGTGCAAATGTAAATAAACAACCTTGCCCATGGAAAAGATCGGATTGGTTAGATATTGGATAACTTGGCGGGACCTTTACTCCGTATGTCCAAAGTGGTCGCGTACTAGTTGAGTTTTAACGATCTAAACAGATTTCGGGCAAATCGTTTTCTAGTTATTCTAGTCTTATGTTAATATCTGTCTTTTAAGTCTTGCATGGAGATTCCAGGCGAGTCTGCTGCCTTGGTCGTAAGTATGCGGACTTCTGAAACTCCTGCCGATGTCCTAAGTATCTGGACTTTTGAAGTAGAAAGCGGTAACTTCTTGTTGCTCATGTTCTATTTAAAATCGAATAACTTATCGTTGTTTCAACCATTACGAGGCGGCGTCCTAAACGATAACATTTCCTATTTTATAGACGATTTTTTCTGGTGACCTGTCCATGTCCCTTCCCACCGTTACAACCTATGCAAATGATTTATCAATTTTATTTCCTAACTCTTACCAGCCATCTTAAATATCCAAGAGACCTACCAAATTTCACACTAAACACTCACAAAGGTGACACCTTTTGGCTGTTCTTTTATTCCAATACATTCACGTCACCTCAAACGACTATAGCCCCGGTACTTCCTCGCTCTTAAACCTTAACATTTCACCGATCACAGTTCGATCGTGCAGATATTGCCAGGCTTGAAGACACACACGGTAGTCCTTGAAAAAGCTTTGGTATCTGGTAAAAAGCTTTAAGCTTATTGAGGAACTCTAGATAACAATGGCGATGCACAGCAATACTGGGCGTTGAAAATAGGCCGACTCATTTTCTTTTCTAATCTAATCCGATGACAGATCCAGAGCTTTGGCTGGCCCTCATAACACGTCTTCCTAGTACTGGAGCCGATTCGTTCGGTTCTTGAACGGCCATCTCATCTCATCCACCCAGGGAGTTGTAGCCCACTTAATGTCGAACTACAACGACGACGGGTGGTACAATGTGGTAAAGGCTCGGGGCCCAAGAAAGGTGTACCTCGTGTACCACGTCCCTCTTTCACTCCAGGTTCCTTCATTGTTCCCCGTGACCCCTTCCAACCCTTGGCTACAAGGGGGGTGTCCGGGCGCAAAATAATGGTGTAGCCCTGAGGGCGTGGCGACTTCTCTAAAGCACAAGCTGTATTTGTGTCGGCCTCGGGTCGCATAGGGCGGCGGGTGCCTTATCCCCCGAGCACACGAGGGTTAGGGTACCAGATCCTGTCTGCACAGACGGGGGAGGGTGCATAACCATCTGTTCTACGGGGAAACAGAAATGTTCCAAGGTTCAGCCCCTGTTACACTGGGAATGAACTCATAGTGGTTCGTGGTGACGCCCCTGGCGGATACCAGAAGAAGAGGCTGTCTTCTATCTGTGACCTTCGCACGAAATTGGCGTATGAACATCGTTTTACATCCGGCCGGGATACGGCGGATCCGACGGCAGCGTATAAGCGTTGAGGCCGCAATGATTACGCTCAAATTCCCTCGAATGCGTGAATAGTGGCTGATGGGAACGAGTAGTGAATCGGTTGCTCCTATTCAAGTATGCTTTGCATGCAGGTGTAGGCTGAGCTCCATTGGAGGTTTACCGTAGGCGGTCTCCTCTAGGGGGTGGTTAGCAATTCCACTTTAAATAAAAGCGCGGCCGGAGCGGATCCGTTAGTTTCTACGCTTGGGAAGCCCCAATACTCTGGGATATAGAGTGGCCTTCTCTACCTAGGGGGTGCGCGGCAGACCAGGCTGATTTATTTCGGCTTGGGTAGCCCTTTGCGCGCGGCATACGGTTCGATGCTTAATGCTTCGACCACTCGGAATGGGCAAGCGGGGAGCGATTTAGTCTTGGCCCCTCGGGGCTGAGCTGCCTCTACACCAATGCTGCGGCAGTAACACCATTCTGTCGTATGTGGTGGTGCGTCAGCTCTCATCTTGAGAATCACAACGTTCCGATAAGGCCGAATAGGCTAGGTGCGAACGTTAAAGATCCTCATTGTCTTTTTAAGGCTACGGGAAAGCAATGTCTTCCTAGTACTGTGCTGACTGTAGTGATAATCCAGCTTCAGCAGTGTCTTTGGTATTACAAATGAACACTTTCCTAGTTCTATAAAACTTATAGGACACCACGAAGGGTTATCGCAACCGATGTGGCGACCCTAGGGTCTATACCTCATGGAAGTTTACTTAACCAATTATACAGCTTGATCGCTGGATGGATCATTAAACAAACACTGCTGGGAGGCGATGGTGACGCTATATTTCATATTTACCCCTTAACACTCACACTAATAAATACACACACTCAAACAAAACATATCAATAAAGAATAAAAAACCTCATATTTTATAAAAAGCGGAATAGTGGACCCAGAAACATACTACCTTGCCCGATAACCATTCTTAAATACGATGCCATGCCTACATGCTCTCTATAAGGATCCAAGCTTCTATTATGTAGGACACATCGTGCAACCTTTCCCTGCATTAGGGACACTTAGGCGGGCTTTGGCCTATGAGAAGTTGCCCGTGTTCTAGGATTATAAAAGCCAGCAAGAATAGTCATCAGTAAAGTGAAAAAGAGTCCATCAATCAACAGCTTTTTCTTTCATAGCTAATCTACACTTGCACTAATTTCCGTAATAAGCAAACAGTTTACAAAGAAACAACATAAACCTGAAAACATGAATTCGATCACCCATCGGTGACCAACATTAAACCTCTTCAACTGCATGACATGTCTAACATGTGTCGGTGATATATTTTGGCTTGGGTGGCTTAAAATTAAGAGATTAGAATGGATTTTGAGATATTGGGATTTAGCTGGTTTGATTTTAATCGTGTACAACAAGTGCTCAACCTGGTTGACAGGTGGTGCAAAATGGAGTAGTTATCTATGAACCCCCACAAAACCATAATGATTCAGTTCATCAGGAAGAGGACAATAAGAAGCCTAAAAACTTCAACTCTAAACCGGATTCCGATCCTATTTTCCAAGCAGGCCAAATATCTAGGGATCACCCTAGACCATCGGCTCACATGGAATCCATATTTAATTAAAACTACCCAGAGACAAAATTGCCTGGAGGCTCTGTGCCAAAAACTGGGGATTGAACCTCAAAATGAACCTAAATGACCTTGGGATTTGGCTAGTCAGTAACTTGAAGAATTCGAAGGACTCAGTGGCTTGAGAATGGCTACTACGTTCCAGTACGTAAGTCCATGTAAGAAAATGAAGAGATGTGAAAAGTTTTTGTTTACTAGTCTTGAACGTGTGTATCGATGTGGATTCCATGTCAACTTATTGACACTACATACAATCCAAAATAGTTGAAGGAAGTGAGATTTGATTCAGAGGGAATAATTTGCAATTGAGGGTAAAGGACTGGGATTTGTTTTTTTATGATAAAGTACGGCCCTAAGGTAATAGGTAATAACACGTCCTAGCCATTCCTAAATGTCAGATTAGTAGTATTATCGAAAGAATCGAGTAAATATTTTAGTGGGGGCCGCGGTAGCCGAGTGGTTGTCGTCAGACTCTCCGCTACTAGGTCCAGAGGTCGTGAGTTCGATCCTCACCGTCGCCTCTGGACTTTTCTGACGCCTAAGGGGACCGGTGGCCGCAGTTCAAGGAAATCGACACGGCACTCATCAATGGAAGGGGCGGGATCGGATCTCCGCGACCCTGAATTTGGTCCCAACCCCCTTCAAAAATGAGTTTCTTCGATGGAAGAACACCGGTACAACGGGGGCTCAGGTTCACATTTGTATTGCGAGCCCTCCCCCAAAATATGGAGCCAGGGATTAAGTACAATAAGCTGTACAGCTCAGCTGCAGTGCTCAGGAGGGAACTCCTCCAATCCCTGGTATCCAAAAAAAAAAAAAAAAAAATTAGTACCGAATGGTGAAAAAAAGCCATTAAAATATGGATATTTTTGGTACATTCGTTACTGATAAAAAAGGACTGATATATTTATGCATTGCGGTAGTGTGACAATTTATTATTTTGTAATAGTTTAAAAATTTTCTCTTATTAAAATAATAAAAACAACAATAAACGAAATATGATTATTTCATCACATGGACGAATTATTAATCTTTGTTGTTGTTAAAAGCTAGCTTTTGTCTTTCTGTTTTTAGTAAGGAATCTAACATTTTCAACAATTTCGACCAAAATTAATAATCGGGACGTGCCACCTGGGGGCGAGGGCCTCCCAGATGGTACGAAGAACTCGGAGCTGTTGACTCCTGCGGAGAGGAGGGAGATGATCGAACATTTGCTGAAGGAGCACCCTAGGCCGCAGATGCTCTCGGTGCCCGTCCGCAGGAGGGTACGCGCTCTGAAACAACTACAGACCAAATTTGTCGAGAGCGAGGCGAAATTTTTCCGAGAGGTCCATTTGCTCGAGTGCAAGTTCGAGAACAAAGCTTTTCCTCTGATGGAAAGAAGGAAGGAGATAATCAGCGGCCTCTCTGAACCCACGGAAGAAGAAGCGTCCAAATTCCCGGACGACATATCCATGCTGGCCTGGGAAATCGACCCCAAGGAAATCACGCCGGATCTGAAAGGTATCCCGTATTTTTGGTACACGGTTTTGCGTTCGATACCCGTCATGGCTGACATGATATCACCGGTGGACGAGCCGATACTCAAATGCCTCACAGACATAAGAAGCAACGTCACCATGGATCCGATGAGCTTCAGACTCGAATTCGAGTTTCTGCCCAACGACTATTTCAAAAATAAAATACTCTACAAAAACTATTTCCTGAAGTGCGAGCCGAACGCCGATTCCCCGTTCGAGTTCGACGGGTCGGAAATCTACAAATGCGAGACGGGGAAAATCGACTGGAAGCCCGGGAAAAACGTCACGATCAAAACGGTCATGAAAAAGCAAAGACACAGGACCGGAAGTAACATTCGAACAGTGACGAAAACAGTCCAGGTCAGGTCGTTCTTCAACTTCTTCAACATACCGAGAGAAGACGCTGAAGAAGACGCCCTCGACAAAGGGCACGCTTACGACTACGAGATCGCGACTTATTTGAGAGAAAGAGTTATCCCAAGAGCCGTGCTCTACTTCACAGGGGAAGCTTTTGCAGAAGAATCTGACAGCGGCGAAGAAGCAGTTTACGAAACCGACAAAGGTTCGTTTATTTTCCAAATAATTTTTCAACAATCCATATGCATTTTAAAATATTTAAATTAAAATAATGAAACGTTTTAAAATTTAGAAACGAATGAGTTTTCTAAATTTATATTTTGTTGCTTTCATAAACAACATTTAATAAGCTTTTCATATAAATATATTAATGAGCTTTCGGCAGATCCGCAGATATTAATTAGCCGATTTTGTGCCTTCATCTCTTACTAATTATTAAATTTTCTCGTAACGGAGGCTTAATTTATTATTTTGATATTTAATCTGACGCATGGGTTCGGATTATGAACATTGACTTTCATATCTTGTATTGATCCGATGAATTCAGAGTTAACCTAATACCGACAGTCGAAACGGTTCTCCATTGTGAGATTGCCTCTGTTAAAACTCGAAATAAATCTTTTGCCCGAGCCCCCTTTCGGTTTAGCTTTTCAAGAGTTTGGCGAAAATCAATCTCAATCCCTTTCACCCGTACCACAACCGCTCTTTACGATTGTAAATTTGTTCAATATCTAAAGATATTCCTCAATAAAACTTTCTTTTCGGAAATCGAGCTTTTGTACGTTTGACTGGATAATAAGTTTGAATAAACACTTCTTGGGAAAGGAAACAAACTGAAAACGACCTGTGGTAATAAAACGTCAATGAATGTTACTAATAGAAAGTACAAATGATATTTGCATGTTGGGATAACAGTTACAATACATAAATTTTTTAAATTTTCTTTTCGTTCTTTCATCTCATTTAGACATTTGAAATAATCTAATATCTATAGAGAGATGTGTGGAAAAGACTTGACGGCATCCGTTGATCCCGTCCAATGTTAATGTATTTATTAGCGCGAATGATGCGTGAGGCTGTGACGGAATATCGAGCTCCCACAGGACCGCCGGATTGGGTTTAGGTAATTTAATATGTATAGAGAGATGTGTGGAAAAGACTTGACGCCATCCGTTGAACCCGTCTACTGTGAATGTATTTATTAGCGCGAATGATGAAGTATGAGTGAAGCTGTGATGGAATATTGAGTGCCCACAGGAACACCGGATTGGGTTTAGGTAATTTAATATCTATAGAGAGATGTGAGGAAAGGACTTGACGCCATCCGTTGAGCCTGTCCAATGTGAATGTATTTAATAGCGCGAATGATTAAGTAGGTGTGAGGCTGTGACGGAATATCGAATGCCCACAGGACCGCCGGATTGGGTTTAGGTAATTTAACATCTACAGAGAGATGTGAAGAAAGGACTTGACGCCATCCGTTGAGCCTGTCCAATGTGAATGTATTTAATAGCTCGAATGATTAAGTAGGTAAAAATGGTAAAAACGCCAAATTAAAAAGCCACGACTTCAACAAATTATTGAAGAACATGGTCACTAAAAAACCCACATATGTAAAATACATAGTTTAAAAAAAAAACTATTTAGTGTGAGTAAATAATGATTTTTTCAGATCATGATGTGGAAGAAGAGAAGTCAGCAAGTGATTCCGAACTAGAATCAGAATGAAATATGGATTGCAATCTTGTTGTATAAATAATTGATTATCCCAAAAATAAAGTATGTATTTTTGAAACAGTGTCTTTTTTAAAATAAATTTATATTTAAGATTCATAAATAAATCTAGGGTATTACATAAGAACATCGGTTAATTAGGAATAGTTGAAATGATCAATCAAAAACAAGATGGTCGGTTTGACCGGAACAAATAATAATAATAATAATTCCATTATATTTAGTGGTCTATTGACCAAATTATTTCTTTCAATTAATTAATCTTTTTATGTAATGTTTTGGTCGAAATGAAAAAGATGAAAATTGGCAAAAAGGAGAGAAAATTCGAAAGGCTGTAGGTTGAGATGGGGAGTTGGTGTCCGAGTGGATCAAAGTCATCCAGCACAAGCAGCGGCGTATTGAGCCGAAGGTCGTGGGTTCGAATCCCGCTCGTGACATTAACTTTTTCAATTCGACCAAAACCATACATAAAACGATTAATTAATTGAAAGAAATAATAATAATTCTTTATTGAATATAAAAATGTCAAATGTGCTTTCAAAGCATTTATGGACATGGATGTTGGATCCGTCTGTCAGAGGTCGTTGGTTAAACAATCACAAAGGAAAAACATATGGAATAAAGTAAGGTAAAAATAATAGCCTAGGAAATAAATGTAAAGAAAAAGAGAAATAACAAAATGAGAAAGAAAGAAAAAAACAGGTTATACAATAGAAATCAAATTGACCGGAACTAAGAAAAGCCATAAATTAAACGAAAATTTCCTCTTAATCACTTAAGTATTTTATTACCAGTTACGTTAAAAGATTGTGCGTTTGAGAAAAAAATAATACAAGAGGGTGGGGAAGCTATCGCTAGCTGAAAGTCGTCTCTTTACGGCGCCTTTGGAAATCTCCGGGGAAAAGGCCTAATGGAGGCTTTGCCTTTATCTGAAGCGGGTGGTTTTTTTTCTCTTAGATTTTCTCTTCCCACAGGGGAAGGTGTCCAGTGGTTTACACCACCGACACTCTTATAAGAAAGATTCAGCAGAAGATATCAGTGGTTGAAGAAATAAATGTATAATTACGATAACAGTTTTGTTTAATTATATCAATAATTGACTTTTGGGTTTTGATTGTTTCTATAAAAATAATTATGGTGAGCAATGTATTATGTTAAATATGTTACTGTTTATTCAGAAATCGTGAGATGCTGTGTGGTGTGAGTAGGTTTAAGAAAAACATTTTGTTTATCGTGCCAACGTTTCGAACTTTATTGAGATCATCTTCAGGGCCTGGGATGTTATTGTGCTTTTCGGTGGGTGTTCAAAAAGTACCGCTTAAGATAATGATTACTGACTTATATAAGCTCAAATTTTCAAATAAAGCTTATCACTCTGGCAGTCAACGAGCAATTATAGTTTTTGTACTTTTCAATAAATTAGCGGTAGGTCTCGAGAATCACCACCCCAGGTGTTGGCAGTCCGTCAGGACCTTGGATTTATATGTCCAGCCAAAGAAGGTGAGTTCCAGGAGCTATTAAAAGCTGGATCGTTTCTGCCCTCAATGCAACTACTTCCTAGATGGTTAGGGATGGTTAGGGAAGGAATGATATTCTCTCTCGAATTTTGCCTCAATGTACTCTGCGGAGGCCATGGCCATAAGGCCTTGGAGTATATACAGTGCCAGCTTCACAATATATCGAACGTTGCAATCCTGACTGATTGCAGAAGTGCAGAAGAAAACGTTTACACGGAATACGATCACATCACGATTGAAATATTATTGAAATACAACGCTTTGGTTAATAGTGGAAACTGATGTTTGCTGGATTAAAGGGCATTCCGGTATACGAGACAATGAAATAGTAGGCACTTATGCTAAGGAGGCTACAGTATGCGGGGTGTTCTGCAAATACAAAATGACAGCGTCTGATAGCAAAAGAGCACTAAATATGGAATGGCTTAGCGATTGGCAGGATTTATATAATGAGTCCCGGTGGGACACCCGTATAAGTGTAGGTTCCCCGTGGTTTCAGGGGTATCGGGCTTCTCGACATTTCTTCTTGGTAATCGTACGTATCCGGATTAACTATGGATTGTGGGGCGCACACAAATTTAAGATCGGTTTGAGGGAAAGTCCAAACTACGCGACGTGCGATACTGTGGAGGATCTCAATCATATCATAATGGAATGTCCGGAATATGAAAAAGAAAGAAAATTGTTTTTGGAAAGGATTTACTCCTTGAAGGACATTGGAAGACCCTTTAATCTAGAATCCTTGATTTCCGAAGAAAGAGACGATGTATTTATATAGGTCACTATACGACTATATCACAGAGTGTGAAATAGAGGTCTGATTCTTGGTAGACTTTGGTGCGGGGCCGGCGGTCGGTGGTCGGGGGCGGGTGCCTGCTCTTGACGGGAGGGATGCAGGGCGCGTTAGCCACTGTCCCTCGAGGTCTTGGACTTTTCCATATTAGATTTTTTTATGTACATGGTTTTTATCCATGTCCTCCAGTGAGGAAACAGGAAAAAATAACATCTCTCCCCTCCCGTCGCGGCCGTTCGTGGTGCCGGTAAAAAAATACTTCCTAGATCCAAAAACATTCACACTCTCATTCATTCTTAACGTTCTTTCTTATTTACATACCATCCACTAAGGGTAGTGGAGTACTCGATATTCCTCCATCACCCTTTTCACCTGTTATATACTCCACACTGCATATTCAAGCTAATAAATGGACTCACATAGGGTAACAGTATCATCAGTGTGAAAAACCTGTTTCCGCCAAGAGTTGGAACAGGGGACCCAGATACTCGCTGCCGTGCTCAAAAGTATTTCTCATATCGGATGCATTCTTACTCGCTCTCTATATGGTGCCAAGAAATCGCACACTATAATTGGGTAGGACACGTCGAGCAACCTTTCTCTACAGCCGGACAACAGGTATTGGCACAAAAGTAAGTCCGTATGTTAACATCGCAAGGCCTATCCTAAATCGGGTTAGGTTGACCGTTCTTCTATAGGCCAAATCCTGCGAGGGCCTAGCTACATGAGAGCTTGTTTGTCGACTTATTTTAATCATGTTTTTCATTGCACTTTTAGCGTCAGATGGATGGATCTCAGGATGTTCGGACGCCCCGGCCTTAGCTGCCGAGAGGCTCCAGTTTAGGATATTTCTCCAACAAAAGCGCAACGAAGGTCGACGGAGAACCTGTCATGCACTTCAGTGAAAGGCCGCCGTCTTGAATCCCCCCTGTCAAATCGCATACATTTCCGACGTGTATAAGCTCAGTGCGGTGGGAACGACCATGAAGTGGACGTACCCTCGCAATACCCGGAGCACGCCACACCTTCGCCGGACTTCGACTCTGTGAAGGAGGCGAAAACCGTCGTACCTCGATCTAAGTTCCAAGGACCTAGGTGAAGGTTTGGCAGTGTAGGCGACTTGACTAACAGATCGTCCCGGACGTGTACGGCTAGGATGATCCAGGGCGGATTGTCTTAAGATATCGAAAAGTACGACTTTTTTATCGACTCGCTCTTTATAAAGTATCAGGGAATGACAGTCTTTCATTTTATATAGGAGTACTAATTTAATTTTCCATATTCATAAACATTATTAGTAAATATTTTTTATAATGGTATTTTGAAATCAGCTTAGGCCCCTGATCTGCCCCCACTTCGTCCAATAAAAATATTTATAAAGAAGGCTCAGAGTACTTCGGAATCTTAAAAATTCTATGACCTTATATGATAAAAACAAATATCTCAAAAAATGTTCTTTTAATGCGAGACAGCTGGGATAAATTCCAAATAGGATATTTTATAAGCTGAATAAAAAAATGATGCAATGGAAATTATGATAATCCCATTCGCGAATTACGTTAAAGGAAAGGTTCATGGTTTAAAATAAAATTTCCTCGCTCACATGGAATTGCCATTGTCGAGTCGTTCGGGTCAGGGCTGTATTCTTCCTTTGGGAAATATTCGATGTTGGTGCAGTGCAGCTCCTTCTCACCGGCTGAAACAAAATAAACAGCCGTTTAAGATCTTCTGAATTCGAGAAGAGAAAAATTTATTTTTGTTACGAAAGTGGAGTAAAACGAACCGAAGCCAAATAAAAAACAACACATCTCAAACTGTCCAGCACCCATAACATAATGTATTTATAAATGGAAAAAATACCATATTAATTCTGTAATCTTCGAATACGTGAAATCTAGTGACCAATGCATAAAAAGAAGACGATGCCGCGATGGCAGAGTGTTTATGGCGTCCGGCTCGATTTGCCACACTAACGGGTCTGGGTTCGAATCCAGGCACAGCATATGGCCTTTTATTGGAGAAAATATTGGCAAAAAAAATCCACATCTACAACACCCAAAGAGTAGTTGGTAATTAAGCGATCCTATTCGACCTGTCTTAATAAGAGAAAATATATTTTTTAAAACCGCTGTTTAGAAAATAATGGATTCTAGAGTAAAATATGTATATTGTATATCATGCAAAATTTTTATATTGACTAAACACCGAAAAATGGAGTTACAATAAATTAACAGATCGAGAATAAAAAGTTTTCATTCCAAATATTGGGTTGTCCGGAAAATAATGCAGGATTTTGGTATTAAACAAAAAAAAAGAAACTAGTTACTTTAAAGCAATGTTCTTTAATCAAAATANATGAGTAATCCTGTAAACGTAAACAGAATATTTTATATAGATTTTTTTTAATGAAAACTTAAAATCCTGCATTATTTTCCGGACAACCCGATATATAAATTAAATACGCTGGTTTAGTGGACTTTCTGTCTAGCGACATCTACATCCAGCTGGTTAAGTTATAACTAGGTTATTATTAATTACATCCAATTATTTTTCTATTAGAATATTAACCTCAACCAAACTCAAAATCCTCAACTATCATGAACAAGTTGTAACTTATTTTTTTTATAACACTGTTGGGTTATGTAACCCCACCCTGGGAAATATGGAGTAGTCTGAGGTGAGTCTGTGACGTCCGGAGAGTAAAAGTATTTATTAGCGAGAATGGAGTGGGTGAAACTTCGCCCCGAGGAATATCGAGTACTCTAAGGTGTGGGTGTGATGTCCTCAAGGTAAAAGTAATTTATTTGCGAGAAATGAATGGTTTGTTTATCCCCGCCCCGAAGAATATCGAATACCCTCGAGTGAGTCTGTGACGTCCGGAGAGTAAAAGTATTTATTAGCGAGAATGGAGTGGGTGNGTATTTATTAGCGAGAATGTGGGTGTAACTCCGCCCCGAGGAATATCGAGTACTGTAGGGTGTAGGTGTGTTGTCTTCAAGGTAAAAGTAATTTATTAGCGATAAATGAATGGCCTGTTTATCCCCGCCCAAAGAATATCGAATATCCTCGGGCGAGTCTGTGACGTCCGGAGAGTAAAAGTATTTATTAGCGAGAATGTGGGTGTAACTCCGCCCCGAGGAATATCGAGTACTGTAGGGTGTAGGTGTGTTGTCTTCAAGGTAAAAGTAATTTATTAGCGAGAAATGAATGGCTTGTTTATCCCCGCCCCAAAGAATATCGGATACCCTCGGGCGACTCTGTGACGTCCGGAGAGTAAAAGTATTTATTAGCGAGAATGGAGTGGGTGAAACTCCGCCCCGACGAATGTCGAGTACTGTGGGACGAGTGTGCGATATCTGGAGAGAAAAAGTAATTTATTAGCGAGAATGGAATGGGTTCAACCCCGCCCTGAAAAATATCGAAAACTCTGGGGGAGTTAACGTGATCTATGTCTGTGTGATGTATATGTAATGTATGTTTTATTTCTATTCTGCATTTGACAACCTGAGAGGCATTTTTAGGACGTTTGAAGTGATACACATTTGACAGTCAGAACCCATATCGAGACGCTCAAACGGCTGCAGTTTAAAACAAAATACGCGCGAAAGACGAGAAAAAGAAGGAAAACTCGCAGAGGGCCGATGATGACTTCAGTTGTTTGTCGGCCTATAAACCCCCCAATTTACTATTATTATTATACTACTGTTTGCCAAAATGGTATGCAGGATAATTCAATACAGCTTCTTTTCAACATGAAAAATAGTCCACCCGTATATCTTATCTACATAGATATGTCCTTCCGACGAGTACACCATTAAAACCACCACATGACACTCGCCCTCAGTCCATCCTGCGGTTCGGAAAGTGAAGCGCCACTTGTTCCTCGATTCATCCTTCCACGCTTTAACACGCCGTAATGTTTTAAAAAATAACATTTTTACACTTTTTGATCGTACACGATCCTCGGTCTTGCGACAAGCCGTATTGACTCGGGTACAAGTCAATACAGTCGAGACAGGAGTCATTTACATATAAATCGTACAACCGTGAGGAAGAAAAAAAGAATAATATCTTAGAAGGTATATTTGATTTAATTAATTATATTCAGTCTTCTTTTGATTTTCAGACTTATTTATCTGAAGATATAAACTGAAAAAACCTTTGAATGATATGTCAATAAAATTTCTATAAAATGAATCCTTTTAAAAATGAACTTTTTGAGCTTGTTTTTCGGATATTTTTAAAATGAAGGTTTTATTACCAGATGATTTTTTGTTATAAAAGAATCATGTCATCATATGAAATTTGAAAAAAATTTACATTTGTATTTTCAATAGAATTTTCATTCTTTCTCCATAATATACTAGAAGTTTAAAATTGGAACCTTCGGTTTTTTTCTAACTCAGCATCTTTTTGAAGCTAACTTTTACGTCCTATTATTTTTAAGGATGAATAGGAATCGGCGGGACTCGTCTCGTCATTAGGAGCCCTTTTTGTACTTTTGCCCTTTTTTTTCTCAGGTTTATTGCATCAGCGTTGCTTTATCAGGCCAGTTCCTCCGCTAACGATAAAAGCCCGTTTATTGTCTTTTTTTTTTTTGTGGTACGCGAATAAGAAATAAACCGAGTTAGCCTTTGTCTGTTGATAATTTATTCCAGAGAAACATTTCGTTTCTGGGATATACTGCATGTAGTATCCTGGGCTACTTCGGGCGAACTTATCTTTTTGTTTTGTATCCAGCGTTTTTACTACTTACTTTGACCCGAATGATCCTGACTTTAATAGAACAAGAAATAACATCTGCCACCTAACCTATTCATACCCAATGATCATTCCTCTGAAGCCGTAAAACTTCTTGAACACATATCTAAAAAAGCTGTTGTTTTTCTTTATATTTAAATGTCCTTCGAACCGCATAATTCCAATGGAAATGTTTTCTCAAGGAGAGGAAGGCTTAAAAACGCTATCAATGTGAATTTCCATCGTTTTACCGACGACTTAGTATATTGCTTATCATGAACAAAACCTTAGAGAAACTGCTTGAGCCACCGGAGATATGAACCAGATAGTATGGCACTTGATACAGCTCTGAAAACTTAAGAAAGTCCTCACTTATACTGCTACCTAATCAAAAAGAAGACATAACAGTAGTTTCAAAACTAAAGAAGTTGGACGGTTTCTTTGTCGATTTCAGGGCGGCTTTCGATTGTGTTGATAGAAGAGCCCTCTTTCTGAAACTCGGTAACTTGGGAGTATCTAGTCAGTTTATAAGGGTCGTGAAGGCAATTTTCTCACAGACTAAGAGTGCGGTCAGGGGGTCAGGAGGTATTTCCGAATTTTTTGAGGTATCTTGTGGTGTGAGACAAGGATGTGTTCTAAGCCCTTTACTCTTTTCCTTATTCTTGGATGATCTCTCATCTAGCTTGGATTTTGGAGTCCGTGTTAGTGGTACAATTATTAAGATTTTAATGTATGCTTACGATGTAGTCTTGATAACAGATTGCAGAAAAATATTAGTCTCCTGGAATCATACTGTGATCAATGGAATCTCACTGTCAACCTGGCTAAATCAAAGATAATGGTGTTTAGAAGAGGAGGCAGGCCTGCCAAGGGTTGGTTTTTCCAGGGTGAGAGGGTTGATGTTGTTAACCAATTTAAATATCTTGGAGTTTTCCTAACTTCCAGACTATCTTTTACCCCTCATCTAAAATCCAAAGCTTCAGTGGCGAAGGTTGCTTTGAATAGAACATGGTGTTACTTTTTGGCCCAGAATTTAATCCCGGTTTACTCTAAGTACAAGGTATTTAATGCAGTGTGCCGTTCTATTTTGTGTTATGCAGGCCAGGTGTGGGGGTTCCAGGATTATGAAGTGATAGAAAGAGTGCAAGGTTTCTTTATTAGGAAGATCTTCTGCCTAATTCTACTCCACACTATATGCTTTATATTGAGACGGCAGTACATAAAATTTTCCTTTTTAGGCTTTCCCTGCATTTTTCATTTGTTTTAAGGGTACTTAAGGGCCCTGTTGCCCGAATCTCCAAAATTACTGCTCTCGAGGTTATTAAATCTAATTGTTCTTGGTTTCGGCAATGGAATACTTTAGCTTCTCAATATGGTTGCGATTTTTCTTTTTGTTTAGAAAACCTCTCGAGTTGGCCCAATTATACCATGAAACTTTTGTGCAGACTACGTGATCAACATCGTGTGAGTTGTGAGCATCGGGCACAGGTCTCCAACAGGTATCTTCTCTTTAAGGCCCTAGACCACTCTAAGGAAACCTTTAACCTAAATGTTCAAGCTAGTGGGTCTATAAAACTTCCGACTCTTCGATGGCTTCTTAAACTCAGATGCGAGCAAGTGTTCCTCAATTCTGTGCCATGGAAGGAAGACGACGGAAATTTCTTGTGCACGCTCTGTAACCTAAGAGTTAGGGAAGATATCTTTCATTTTGTTGCCCAGTGTCCCATACTGTCTGAACTCCGTATCCTGTATCTAGGCTATAAATCGCTTTCCAGGTCTCAGCTGCTTGATCTGTTAAATATCGTGGATATGGAGAGGTCGAAAGGTCTAGCACACTATGCACGTCATGCCTGGCAATATAGGTACGATTATAATACCGAGTCATAATTGTTTAACTTGTATCTAAAATCAGCTAGTTTTTATAATTTAGTTTTTACTTATAGTTTTCTAATATTACAATTATTATATAGTTTATTTTATTTTTTATTTTTCGCTCGCCTGAAAAAGAACAGCCAACTTCCGGCAGACGGATAAGCATCCATGCTGTAAAATGCTTTTAATATTGTATATTATGTAATGCTTCT